GTATTATAGAGTAACTGAATATGTATCCTGCAACTGAGAGCAGTAAAATAGAGTCCACAGTGATTGTGGATGCTGAGGATAAAGCATCACATGAGATGCCCATGGGCACAAAGGGAATTCTGGGCCCTGTATCTCAGACCAACTGCAGGGGTAACATTTGTGGGAGAGGGTGGATGTGTGTGGATAGAGACAGGGGTGAGTATGTGGAAGAGTGAATCAGTTGTTTGTTTGTTTGTTTGTTTGTTTGTGTGTGTGTGTGTGTGTGTGCGCGTGTCTGTGTGTGTGTGACCACAACGCAGCAAACTCTCATGGACAAGAACAAGAGGGCCAGTGTTCAGGGCTGACGTCAGTATTTCATCACCGAGATATTAATAACACAAACTCTCTCTCTCTCTCTCTTTGAATGTCTGGCTTCATCTCTTTGTGTCACTCTGTTGCTCTTTAAACACATAATATTACTCAGAATTCAACAAATTACAAAGCTAAGGATTACGGGGAAATTTGGTCAGATGTTTGGGAACTCTGTCATTTCATCTTTATCCCTCCGCCTTTAGATTATCTTTCATTCCTCTGGAATTTTTCCATATTTCTAAATGTTCCCCAAATCTCTTCAGTGTGTATGTTTGGAATGACATACTACCAACACTAGTATTATAAAAAATGCAGTATGCAGTATGTATAAAATGCACAGTGTGAACATTTTCTCTATGCGTGGAATACTGTAATTACTTGTTACATTTGCCAAATTGTGCAATATACAAAAAGAGCACAGTATCCCAAAATGCAAAGCACTCAACTTGACATTCCCTTTCCAGCAATAGGAATGAACAGAAACTACATCATTTATCTTCTTCTTGACACAATATTTAATTGGACTGTTAAAAGGTGAGTCATTTCATACAAAACTGGATTAAAAATAACAGTAGAAAATAACTACTGTTAATTATTTTCTGACTGATTTAAATAAATTACTGTTAATTTATACACACATATATATGTTGGGAATCAGTTTTATTTTTATTTTCCTTTTATTTTAAGTTATATTTATAGTTTATAAGTTATAGTTTTGTTGTGTTTCTCTCTTTTTTTTTTAATATGTCTATATTTTAATTTTTTAAATTTCATTTGTAATTATTTAAGAAAATCAAGTTAAATGAAATTTTAAACTAAATGTAAATGAGAAATGTTTCAGTTAACATTTATTTGATTTCAAGTAACAATGATTTTTTATTTTAGTTTTAGTTTTTGGTAACTATAATAACCCTAACTGGGACACCACTCAATAAATGAAACATGCAACATCGCGCATTCACGGGACAATGTAGCATACGATTTATCACAGATACATCAGAAACGTTTATTACTGCATGCTGTTTCATATACTTTTCTAGTAGGCAGAATACATTATATCTTGCCCAGTATGCTAATATTCCATTCAGTAAGCACTGCCATCATGTTTCATCTTCATAAACTTTCCCAAAAGTCTCTCTCTCTCTCATTAGGGTGTTTGTTATAAACATCAGTATGGATGAGTGAGAGTGGTCAAAGGGCACGTAGCCTCGTCACACACCCTGCAGCGCTGCTGAAGAGAAACCATCTTATTTTGGAAAATAATGTTATTTTCAAACGCTTACCCAAAATGATGCTTATATGCACACTATATTTGCTGATATATATGCATATAAATGACAGTAGTGGTTAGTGTATCAGACTGACAATACCAACCTTGTGGCGAGCCACAGCCGCGGAAAAAGGGCACTGGAGAGGTCAGTTGAGAATGCAGAAAGCTCACTTTACACACCAGTAGGTTGGTGTGTAAAGTGAGCTTTCTGCATTCTGAACTCCTGAAGAGAAGCCATCTTATTTTGGAAAATAATGTTATTTTCAAACGCTTACCCAAAATGATGCTTATATGCACACTATATTTGCTGATATATATGCATATAAATGACAGTAGTGGTTAGTGTATCAGACTGACAATACCAACCTTGTGGCGAGCCACAGCCGCGGAAAAAGGGCACTGGAGAGGTCACGTTCCTGCTCATTTCCTGACTGGGGTCTGTGTGTGTCCGCCAGGTAGGAACATAACAGCGACAGCACCTGTGAAGATGATGACACATCTTTAGTATAAGAATAAGCTGGAGAGAAAGAAATAGAGAGATCAGAGATTGAGATCACAGAGAGAGATCATGTGGAGTGCTTTTTATGATGGATGGACGCACTTTATTTTGCTTCAAAATCTCAACACCCATTCACTGCCATTATAAAGCTTGGAAGAGCCAGGACGTGTTTTTTTTTTACATATAACTCTGATTGTATTCGTCTGAAAGAAGAAAGTCATATACACCTAGCATGGCTTGAGGGTGAGTAAATCATGGGGTAATTTTCATTTTTTGGGTGAACTATCCCTTTAATTGTGATCACAGATCAGATATAAATCAGAGATATCAGAGAAAACAGAGAAAGAGAATTCAAAGAGATTAGACAAAAATCAAAGAAAAGACAGAAACCAGAGAGGGGTCAGACTTGGACAAAGACATAAATCAGACAGATAAATCAAAGAGAGAGATCAGACATCAGACAAAGATCAAAGAGATAGTTCAGACAGAGACGTCAGAGATCAAAGAGAGAAATCAGAGAGATACATCAGATGGAGACAACAAATAGAAAAATCAGACAGATAAATAACAGAGATCAGACATAAAACTCAGAGATAGATCAGACATCAGATTTCAAAGAGAGATATCAGATACAAATATCAGAACATTAAAAAAAAAGAGGTATCAGAGACATTAAAGTGAGAAATCAGATCAAATAGATATATCACAGAGATCAGAGAGAGAGAGAGAGAAAATATCAGATAAATCTCATAGACCAGACAAAGACTGCAGAGATCAAAGAGATAAATCAGAGAGATAAATCACAGAGATCAGACAGATAAAGAGAGAGATCAGACAGAGATATCAGACAAAGATCAAAGAGAGATATCAGATACATAAATCAGATCTAACAAATGAACAAGAGCGGGAACAGACAGATAAATCAGATACAGATCAGACAGAGACATCAAAGGGATCAGAGAGAAACCAGAGAGAAAAATCACAAAGGGATCAGGACTGATACATCAGAGACAGATCAGACAGATACATCAAATGGATCAAAGATAGAGAAAAATCACAAAGGGATCAGACTGATACATCAGAAACCAAAGAGAAACCAGACAAGATAAATCTCAGAGGGATCAGATAGAGAAATCATAGAGAGATCTGACAAATAATTCAGGAATCAGACATATAAACCACAAAACGATCAGACAGATAAATCAGAGGGATCAGATAGAGATCAGACAAAGAAGTATGAAAGACACCAGAGAAATCAGAAAGACAGATCAGATTCTTCATTAGTTCATCTTAAACAAAAAGAGATAGCAAACAGGGATCAGACAGAAAATCAGTTTATTTAGCTTATCTTACATATCCTTACATATAACAGTCTGTAGAAAGAAAGAAAATAAAGTGAATGGATAGTAGACAACTTGCATACAAGGTAAAAGAGTGCACAGCAGGCTGAAATAGTCTTTACTGGGCTATAGCCGCAATGAGGAAGCCACTCATTATGCCCCAGACAGGAGAAGCACGGGGCAAAACAAGTTTGACCATGAAGTACCAGGCCTGGTCTTCCAGCCGAGGCCTGCTCGCGCCATCGGGTGGAAAAGCCCATGACGGCCAGCCTCTTATGCGCCCTTGGACAACTTGTGACTGACCACAAACCGATGGCAGCGGTTAAAGGCAAAAATAAACACCCCATAGAGGTCCATAATTCAGCAGAGTGTACAGAGAGCCGTGCACACATTTAGAAAAGAAACATGCACAAACAAACACCAGCACATGGACTGAATACAGTGCTGGATGCTGATCTTTGACACACTAAGACCTTTGGGTCGGCCGTTAAATAAGACTGCGAGGAAATGTTTTAAAAGCCAACCTGTGGGCGGATGCTTTTATGAGTAGATTTGGAAAGTCTGGACACAATCTGAATCTAATTAAGCTCATTTGTCTCATCAGTTTGACTTTGTTTTTTTACAGGCTTTTCCTTACAGCAGAAACAAAGCTCGTGGGTGTTTCAAGGCTGATTGAAGCGGTCACTAAATCCAGACCTTTGGCAGCAATGCACAACAAAGAGGAAATGCACAAAAAAACTTGATAAACTTACAACGTGTCCTAATCAGTCATGATGAGACAAGTTTGCTGTGACAAATAATTTGCTTAATGGTGAAAACAAAAATCATGCAAGATGTAATACAAATTAGTACATTAAAATGTTTAATATACATTTATGTGGAGTGGGATTTTAGACCAATGACATTTCACTGTGGGTCGACCTATCCAGCACAAAAAAAAAAAAAAAAAAAAGAGGAAAATTAATATATTAATTTATGGATCCTTCCCATCCACTACGACGCAGTTTGAGAAATACATTTTTATTTGAGACACTACGGACAAAAAAAGCACCATTACACAAATACTCTGTATTGAGTCTATATCAGAGATGGCAAAAGTACACACATCCTTCACTCAAGTAGAAGTACAGATACTCATGTTTAAAAATACTCTGGTAAAAGTTGAAGTACTGACTACACTTTTTTTACTCAAGTTAAAGTAAAGTATGGGCTCTGACATGTACTTGAGTAAAAAGTAGCCATTACTACTACCTGTTTTAGGGTCACGTGGGTAACGGGACCTCACGTCATATAAATACCTAATACAAAATAACTTACATTTCAAAATTTGTATCCAGGCTGAACAACCGCCATGTAGAACAGGGCCAGAATGGGACAAAATTTCACTCATCCAGGCTGTCCCATACACACTCAACAAATTCTGAATCATGGACAACACTATTTTTTTGTATGGCCATCACATAATAAAGGTTAAAATCCTTAGGCTGGGGCCGTGCAAAATAACTATATTTTCTAAATTGCCTAAATGTCGAAATTAGTACAACAATAACTACACCATCACAATATATTTAAAGAAAAGTCCTAATATTGAACATGTTATTGCATTGTCATGAGTCATATTTTTCCCTTATGAAAATTAACTATGGTTTTATTATAGTAAAAGTATAGTAACCATAGTTTTACTATGGATGTGAGGCCATTTGTGCATTTTAAGAGAGAGAGAAGAAAGAGAGAGAGAGAGAGGATGCTGTACTGCTGAATCACTCACACCGTTTGTGAAATTACGTCTCACAGAAAGTTTTAAAATGACTGAACTGCTCTGATAAACTGTTTGGATTCAATCTACTGTACATGCTATAGTGCAGAAATGTTTCCGGGAATTTCCCGCATTATAAACGCGAAACCTGCAGGAATGTGTAGAATTATGCGCAATCCCGCGCCGAAATTAAGGCCCTGCTTAACCAAGTAAACAAAGACAAAACAGTAGCCTATTTACAGATGAAACTGAACTGCACTTGAAGTCCTGAACAGATCAGTGATTTCGCCTCTCTGCTCCACCATTCTCGAGTTTCTCGCACTGATTACTCTGATCAAAACCTTTTGGCGGAGGCGAGGAGCGCGCGAGCCGAATCGGAGCATTGCCAGTCAAGACTAACCGATTCATGATTTATTAGAGATTTATTATGGCGAAAATACAGATTAGAACTAAAGTAACGAGCCTGTTTTGAAAATATAAGTAGAAAGTACAGATATTTGTGTAAAAATGCAAGAAGTGAAAGTAAAAAGTTGTCAGAAAAATAAATAGTTAAGTAAAGTACTGATACCAGAAAAATCTACTTAAGTACAGTAATGAAGTATTTGTATGTCCTTACTTCCCATCTCTTCTCTATATTAATAAACATTTATTTTATATGCACATGGTGAGAAATAAAATAAATAATCCGGCAGTTGCCAATTAACCTAAACTAACCTAAACAAACCAAAACCAAACCAAACCAAACCAAAACAAAACAAAACAAAACAAAAAACAAAACAAAACAAAACAAAACAAAACAAAACAAAACACTAATAAACACACAAACAAAACAAAACAAACAAAAAAAACTGGCTGTTCTCCATTTACAAAACAAAACCAAATACACACACAAACACAAAAAACAAAAACAAACAAAAAAAAACAGAAACAAAACAAGAATAATAAAAAAAAAAACTAATTAAAATTAAAAAAAATCGGACTGTTCTCCATTTACAAAATAAAATTAAACAAACAAAAACAAACAAACAAAAAAAATCACAGAACAACAAATCTGGCTGTCCATTTACAAAAAAAAAAAAATTAAGGTAATCAATCAATCCATCCATCCATCCATCCATCCATATTGGTCTGCTCTCACTTAAAAAAAGAGAAAAGAAAAACATGCACAATATCATAAGCTGAAGCAGCACAAAGTGTGTGCACACTAGTGTGTGCGTGCAAGACCACCATTGATTGCAGTATGTCTGCAGATCTGATTCACTGTTGTCAAAACACACAGCGGATTAATTTCCCTGTAGGACCTGGATGTTATCCAGGACTTTTAAAAAGAAGCTGCTGCATTGTGGGTAAGTGGCAGTGTTGGAGAGCGCTCGGTGCAGGGGCCGAGGCGTCAGGTTAGGTTAGTGCTGCTCAATCTGTTTCCCTCGTTAGCCAGCTTCCAAAGGGAACCAGTGAGTTGTGTCAACAGGGATTTTTAGGTGAACTCAGCGGGGTTCAAGCGTTTTACTCAGCAAAGCTGGTTTTGTAATCAAAATGGCACTATGAAACAGTGCTGACACACTACTTCATCTCATCCTGATATCAAAACTCTGTAATGCAAATTGAGGGTTGTGGGTGTTGTGTTAAGGAAGGTGTACATACAGTAAAATCTATTTTTATATAGACTCACAGGCATCTGATTCAAACAAAGAACAAAAAGGCTTTAATTCAGGTTTGATACAACAACATCTGCAACCTGTTTTCCTCCCACCCCCATATTTCATTTTCTCTTGCCATATCGGTTTAAACAAAAACACACTGTATAATTTGCTTGCAGTCAGTAATGTCCAAAGGAATGTTAGAGTGATTAATTTTGCACTACAGAGATGATTATTTGTAATAAAG